AATTATAGTTTGTTGCTCCTAAAACAACCTAAAGTAACAGAGAAGATCCAAAACTGCACCTGCACAGGTCCGAACTGTAATGATCTCAGAACGTTGGACCCAATATTCAAGGTGAGACACGCAGTGGGAAAGTTCAAAGCGTTTATTCAAACACAGACAGAAACGCAGGGGCTGCTCATCAGCTGGATCCTCTGGCAAAGATAGAAACTCAGGTTAGTGACTTTAAATCTAAGACGGGCCACGACTACGAGCATAAGTTACTAACCTGGTTCTGAGTTCAGTCCGATTCTGGAGGAACACTGAAAACAATTATCTAACCACTTTTGGCATTTACTAAATCCTATCTAGCAGCAACAGTGTCCATGAGGGGAAATCCAAAGCAGGAGTCAGAAGACAGCTCCAAGTTCAGAAAGCCGGCAGAATCCAGGAAACAGTCCAGAACAGATTAAACTAAGAGCAAAACAGGGACAAAGCAAAAACTCATAAGACCCAAAAGCTGAAACAGGTCAGGATCAGAGAATCAGAATAATAAACTAAACGCTAGAGTTAATCTCACAAACTGCTCCAATAACCTGATGCTGATAGTAGGCAAGCAAGCAACATAAAGAGCTGAGGAACCAAGTGGAAATGATCGGCGTTAGCCGGGCTTACGCTGTACGATTTTTTGCCCTTTTCGGGCCAATTTTCCAAAAATCAAATAAAAACAAAGAAGCATGGCGGGGGAGCAAATGAAATGGAGTTCTTTCTTTAAATCTTACAGACCGTAGTAGCCACGTTTGCTCAGCCATGTCTTTTTTTCAAATATGTTGTCGCCTTTTCTTTTTAGAGCTTTCAGCACAAAATTGCACAATTTGCCAAGGCAGCTCGCTTCTCTAATGAGCTTCATATTCCTCTTCTACTCGTTTGGCTTTTGGATAGACGAGTCCGAGTAGCGCCATCCCACTGCGGAGCTGAGTCCCACGTGGTTTATAGACGTACAGTGTGAGCAGGTAGATTGCATCAGAGCGTCGGGCCGCACAGTGTGAGAACATACATTTCGAACTGTGAATTCACACCGTACAATGAAACCCTGTGGTTTTATTCTCATAATTTCATTATTCTCGTAATTTTACGACTTTATTCTCGTAATTTTACGACTTTATTCTCATAATTTTAACTATTATTGTTGTAACTTTATTCTCGTAATTTTGCGACTTTATTCTCATAATGTTGTAACTTTATTCTCGTAATTTTACGACTTTATTCTCATAATATTATGACTTTTTTCTCAAAATTTCATTATTCTCGTAATTTTACAACTTTATTCTCATAATTTTACGACTTTATTCTCATAATTTATGAATATTGTCATTGTGGCTTTTATTCTCGTAATTTTACGACTTTATTCTCGTAATTTTACGACTTTATTCTCATAATTTTAACTATTATTGTTGTAACTTTATTCTCGTAATTTTACGACTTTATTCTCGTAATTTTACGACTTTATTCCCATAATTTTGACTATTATTGTTGTAACTTTATTCTCGTAATTTTACGACTTTATTCACGTAATTTTAGGACTTTATTCTCATAATTTTATGACTTTATTTTCGTAATTTTACGACTTTATTCACGTAATTTTAGGACTTTATTCTCGTAATTTTATGACTATTCGTGTTGCAACTTTATTCTCATAATGTTACGACTTTATTCTCGAAATAGTAAAAAATTAATCTCTAGTCTGGCCCCAATACTCTGTCGTATTTTTCCACCCTTATGCAACAGTGAATCAGTAAATCAGCATCAGTAATTTTCCTATTGTATAACAGAGTAGCATTATTTTTGGTCTTAACCAAAGGAGTTGTGTTCATAATCTTTGTTTTTTAATTTCTTCCTGTTTTTCTTTTAATGACTGTAATAAAGGAAGAACCAATCATCCCTATCTGTATATCCTGTGGAATTGCAATTGTCTAGCTAGAGAATGCTATTGTAATGAACAGATAGCTGTAGATGACACATGTATTGTTTAACATTGAAAATAGCAATACAAATAGAATTGAAAAAAAGAAGTTGTCTGAACCTTAGAGCGTTCTGCTGAAAGTCGGCCACTTCACAGAGGCCGTATGAGCCTCCCTGTCCGCAGCGGTTACCGCGCTCTGAGCTTCCCCGCCACAAAGCATCAGAGAGTCCAACCCCAGCTACCACAGGTTGCAGCATTCAAACGTCACACATAGATTAGAAACACAGGGACTCATGTGGGTTTTAACCCCTGTACCAATTAAAGTGAAATTACAGTAAAATGGTATTTAACGGTGAAACATTTATTAGACCTCAGTGAACCTCAGCAGGCGAGCTGACCCCAACCAGGCAGAAACAATCTGTTCATTGGTCACGCTTAAAAACTTCAGCCTCAAATGAATGAGTATCTGTGTGGTTTTCTGCTGTGTGACGGGATCTCTATGTTTGCATGTCTCAGCTCCCGTGGCCACGGCGACAGGCCCAAACTTCTCCCTGGCAGACCTGGACAGCCCGGGCTATTACAATATCAACCAGGTCACCCTGGGACGCCGTTCCATCACCTCCACCCCCTCCACCAGGTACATCCACCTCCAACACATTCCTGTTGGTAGCACTGATTACAGATCAGTTTCCTTTCTAACCTTTGACCTGGAAAAAACGGATTTAGGTTCATAGCTCTGTTTACTCACTATCCGATCCAGAAGCACGGTCCGTCCTGCACATGCGCAAACAGATATCCATTGTGTGTCCATATATATTGTAATTATGGGACTAAAATTACTTATTTCTATCTTTAACTCTCTACAGAATGCTAATACGCATCTTTAAATAATGTTTTTTGACTTTTGTAAGACAATTTTGATGCTTTTTACATTTTCTTCGTTCAACTGCTTCTCTGACGTCATCATAGGACAAAATATGATTTAAACATATTTATCTGCATTTTAGTTGTTTCTTTCTTCAGATTACGCACCATATACCATAAAGTTAACACAAAACAAAAGCATAAACCTCAAAAAGACTAGATTTATGTTTAAATCCAAAGCCGAAAAAGTTAGCTCTCGGAAGTAGCGCAGGATCCCATTTCCTGTGCGGAACGGACACGACTGATAAAACAGAAAAGATTTTAAAGCATTTGTTTTCCCAGGAAATACATTATTAACCTTTAACACATTATAGTTTAGTATGCGTATTTCTTTTTGGGAGGGAAAACATCATTTAGGTCTTTTTAACAAAATAAAATCGAGGGCGACCCGGATGTATATCTGGATGCGCAAATGAGCTGATCCGCAGAACGGATCTTGCTTCCAGGACGGATCGGGTAGTGACAGTAAGAACTGCTATCGAAATGTTTGTTTTTCTCCAGCCTTTACGGTAAAGACAGAATAAATACAGAGGTGACGTTTTTACAAGGTATCCAGCAGGAATTGCTGATATAATCAGCCGATATTAGCTTTAAAACTTAATATCAGACATTCTGCCAATAAAACTCAACTGTTTCTAGGGTTGCCACTAATCCTTTGAAATCATTGAACATTTTTTATTATTAAAGAATTTGATTAATTAAAAATATGTTTTAAAAAATTCTACATGGTAGTTAAATATAGAACAAAATGCAAAAAAATGAATGACAGCAGTTAGCCTCAAGTCCTTTTTTTGATTATGAGATTTTTCAGTTTCATTTCAGAACACATTTACAAAACGTGTTCTTGGAACAAAGTTTACTCCGTATGTAAAATAAATAAATGTAATCTAACAAAAACTTCGAACTGTTTTTAATATTCTTTTTTTGTTTCTGCATTTTTTATTTTATTTACTTTGATTCTGTTTTATCTTCCTGTATTGTAATCATGTAAAGCACTTTGCATTGTCTTTTTACTGAATTGTGCTATACAAATAAATTTGCCTTGCCTTGCCTTGCCTATGTAAGCAGGTTAGCAGCAGTTATCTGCAAGTTGAATGATTTAAACACCAGCATGTCAGCCAAAATTTCAGTATTGTGCATCCCTGATGTTTACTTTAAGATATTCGTGTTCAGTGCAGCTAACATAGATGTAGATCCATAGAATAACTCTGAAATTTATAAGATTACACCAGATTTCAAAAATTGGAAGCTAAAAACGTTATATCGTTCAGCCTTCCTGTTATCTGCTTGGTTTCTCTCTCACTCAGAATGAGCCACAGGCATCATCGTAGCGCCGACTTTCCAACATGTCATTAGATGATTTCTTCTCTAAAATCATAAAATTCTCAGTTTGTTCTTGAAATTTTTCTTGCTTTGCTTCTGATTGTCGTCTTTCTTCTCCCTTTTCCTTCCTCTTCACTCATTCCAACTCATTGCCTCTCATTTCCCCGCCAACCTCTCCCTCTCTCTCTCTGTCTCTCTCTCGCCCCGTCTGTGTCCGTGTCTGTTTTTACTTCTCGCTCTCTCTGCTCTCTCCTCCCCGTTCGTCTTACGCTGCAGGACTGAAATGGAGCTTTATGCAAGTCTCCCACGGAGGTAGTTACACTCTTTGCAAAATATCTCCCCCGACACTAATGTAACACAGATCCCTCCATCGCACTCGAACAAACCCAACACACGCACGCTGTCACTCATATACGTGCATTCTGTACACTGGCAGCACCCCCCGTTGCTTTATTGGTCACAGATGTATAAGAATCCGCCAACTCGCACAACAATGCGTGTTTGGGATCGGTCGGTCTGCTTTCTAACGTGAGGCCGGCATTTTGTTAATATTCTAGCCCTGTTCCTGTCACACTGTCTCCAGCTGGCCCTCTCTGTCCCTCTGGCTGTAACATAATATTAAAACAACACACTAAACACAAATCTTGACATGGGGAATTTTTTATTAGTCTTGATTTTTATGCAGACCCCTGTTCGGACTCCCGAGGAATTCTGCAGCCACGTCAGCCCCTCAGAGGTCCATGGGAATTATGCATGTACATTTATTAGAATCTCAAACACAGTGCATTGCAGGAGCATTCATACGCCTGAGGCCTTTTTCACATTTTATTACATTACAGCCATTAAAATGTATTAAATGATTTGGGGGATTTTATTCAACACTGGAAAGAATCATCTAAACCTTTTATCTAAGCAGGTAAGTTGAATATTTGCCAATGAAAGACGTATTTGGGCCTCTAAAATACATACATACATACACTGTACTTTATGTTAAATAATAGAAATGTTTTTTGTGGTTTTGCAAAAATCATTTTCTGTCAGCAGATTATTCACTTATCTCCTCAAATCATGTGCAGATACACTCACCTAAAACTTTACGTACATTTAGTTTACTTTTTGCAGAGAATAGATTAGCATATATTAGGGCATAACGAAAGAAAGACAAAAGACAATTATTCCAAAAAAAAGAAAATTAAAATCCAATGGACTTTGTTTCCAAGTTTGCAGACTTTTCGCTTCCCATCCAGGAAGCTTTTTCAATTCAAAATGTCAAGAATAATGTTAAGTTCAAAATACAGTGGATTGTTTTTAATGTTCTTCTTTTTGGAATGACTATGACCTGGATGACTGAGAATCTTCAACAGCAAAAAAAAAAAAAAATCTATTAATAGTAGGAATGCACCAATATGAAAAAAAAAAATGTCATCATATCCAAAAACAACAAATACTGGATTGTTATTATCAAAGGATCTGCATATCCAGAGCTTCACTGTTACCAGTAGATCTGGTAGAGAGACACTTGAAAAAAATCTGCAGTGGATGTATGGATAAAACAAATAAACGCCTGCCACACTTTTCAGATTTTCAATATGATTCCCAATTCTGCACCTTTTTGTGTCGACACCTCCTATAGGATCTGTTGTTTATTTTTAAAAGCTGTGAAAACTTTTGAAAGTACGTTCCACCATCGATATCACACACAGACGTAACACCCTTAATGTCCTCTTCTCCTTTTCAACACTTGGAAAACAAGCGTTCTCATGTTTCTCTCCTTCTCGTTCCGATTCTCAGCTCCAACAAGCGCAAGTCCATCGATGACAGTGAGATGGAGAGCCCAGTGGATGATGTGTTTTACTCGGGCCGCTCCCCCGCGGCCGGCAGCAGCTCTCAGTCCAGCGGTTGGCCTAACGATGTGGACGCAGGTATTGTTACTGGAAGTGTGACATCACTGCGGCCTCTGCAGGAGATGGGCTGAGGCGTCGCTGGCGACGACAACGTGTTCAGAGTTTTTTTAGATAAAGGATTCTGGTTTAGCTTTCCTGATCAGTTTTAAGTTCCAGAGGTTTTCCTTTGGGATTAAAGGAATCATTTGACATTTTTGGAAATTTTGGATTCATGTTATACATTTTTTATCTCAAATGATATTATTCTGGTTATAAAACAATGTTTTTAATTTTATTCTGAAATGTATTCATTGTGCACAGGAAGTTCATTTGGTTTTCTGTGGGGGAGGATCATACAACTCACAGCTGGAGGTTTTTAAGGATCAATAACTTATTATTTCTTACATCTACTATTACTATGCAGCTTTTAGTTTTAATTCTGACTGGATATATGAGATTATCTTAAAGGTATAGGTGACGATAGGCTTTGAGCTGCGGATTATGTTGCCTGCTGAATTTATTTTAGGATATCTTTATGTCTGAGGAAAAGTTTTCAGTTCTCAGTAGGAAAAAAAAGCTGTCAGGTCTCCAATCTCAGAAAAATAGGAGTTATGCTATGTTCACACTGCAAGCAGCAGGAGCAGCAAAAATGCTGCTTCATTTATGATTCTTGTA